AAATGTCCCAGAGCAGTTTTGAAGGGGGGGGGGTGAGGGGGGGGGGTCAGGAAGCTGAGTTAGTGTGTGCAGGGTGGCAGAAGTGGGAGAGGGGGCTGAGGGGGGGCAGGCAGAGAGTTCAGCATCCAACCAACATAACCAACGTGACCTCAGTGCAGAACTGATTCCATATAATTTATTAGTTACAGACAAGCTTCCACAAAAAGGTATTTGATATTTAAAATGATGTATATAAGAAGTTAAAACATTGGAACTTGACTGAAATCTTCCTCTGGTCTGGACCTCACAAGTATAGCTGGACACATCAGGACACACTCACTGTCAGTTCGGAGGCATGGACCGTCGGGACCCCCGGTACCGGGATCACCGGGACCCGGCCCAGCACACCGGGCCTCTCCTCCTCCTGGTGCCGGCCTCTGGCGCCCAGCAGGCGGCTCAATAAGGCTCCGAGTCCCGCTCCTACCAGCAAGGTCGACCCGGTTCTTGCCATTCGCTTTATCCGCCTCCCGACGCGTTATTATGACGTCATCTAGCAGCGCACCGTCCTGCTAGATTTTTATTTTTTACTTTATTTGTCATTAAACAGTACAAATGCAACTTCTAACAACGAAAAAAAGTGAGATAAATTAAGATTAAAGCGAAGAAACAAAACAAACAAAAATTAAATAAAGTTCAGTCGATCGGTGCTCGTGAGTGTTCGGGGTTTTCCTCGTGTCCGTGAACTCAGCACTCACGTGTTTCAGGCACAGTTCTGTGGAAGGTAATAAAGTTTGGTCTAGATTTAAGAAATCTATTCTTGTGAATAAAAAACTTCTCTAGAATGATAATGGTGTTAATCATTGAACATTATTATTGATAGTGTTTATCTTATTTCTTTATATATTGTATTGTTTATTAACATTTAGGAACTTTTGTGTGAAATCTTTTTATCTGTTGCTGCTGCTACACTTGAATTTCCCATCCGTGGGACAATAAAGGCTGTTTCTATTCTATTCTATCGTTTTGCGATAAAACCATATATGACATTTTCAATTCTGGAATCTGTATATATTTAGACAACCAGTGATGTAAATCATCCCAAACTGCATCAGCATACTGTGCTAATAATAATATGCTAATATTGTATATATTATATACAATCATAATAAATGTTGTCAGTGGTCTCAGCATGCATGCAGTTGACAGCAGGCCCCGCCCCGCTCTGCTCTGATTGGCTCAAACTGTGGTTCTTGTTCTTCAGCAGCATGCATGCAGTTGACAGCAGGCCCCGCCCCGCTCTGCTCTGATTGGCTCGAACTGTGGTTCTTGTTCCAAAAAAGTTCAGTCTGGTCCTCTGGACATCTCTCTTTCAAGGATGAAGATGTTCACATCCTGGACAGAGAGGAACGATGGTTTGAGAGAGGAGTAAAGGAGGCCATCTTTGTGAAAAGACACCGTCCATCATTAAACAGGGGTGGAGCCTCCGGGTTCAACTGTCCCCCTCTTACAATGCTGTGATTGCTAGTATCACTCAGCCCTCTGTGAACAGTAAACAGCCATCAGGTGCTAATGATCCATTGTTAGGCTGATGGTCCTTCTTGAGCATGTGATCAGCTGGTTCTGGTTGTCAGCAGCAAACTGGTTGATCCACTCTGAGAAGGTGCTATTTAAGAGACTGAGCTGAAAACAGCACCTCAGACTGAGGAAGTCTCTCGGATGAGACGAAACATTTCTACATTTTTTGTTGTTTTGCTTTGTTTTGTTTTTTTGAATGTCCAGAGGACCAGATTGAACTTTTTTAGGTTTAATGAATTAGTTGACCGGCAGATCTGCCACATCCAATATGGCGGACGCTCTGACGTACAGCTGCAGTGGGCCAGCGCGCTCATCGAGGCGTCTGCGTCATATGCCACACAGTCAGCCACTTCCGGGTCCAGATGACGAGCCGGGAAGAAAGGAGTGATTACAGAGATTTGGCATTATAGTACAGTGATTGATAAAAATATCGATTGATTAGCCAGCCACAGCTGGAAATGATCGGAACCTAGCTAGATTGCTGACCGCAGACTGACAGCCCTCCAGCTGGGTCACGTAAGTAGTTCTGACCCGAGGAAGAGAATGGCGGAACGGGACGATAAACCTCTGCAGTCATCTTCGGAGATTTCTCAAAGTTCTGGGAGACAAAACAATTTTTCTGATGAAAATGGACGCGTTGACAGTCCGGATGAGACTCTCTCCCCGACCTCTGTGATTTACTTTAAGGAGGCTTTAAACTCGTCGAACCTGCGGTTTGTAAAGACTGGGTCGGTGTCATCAAACCCACTTCGAAAGTATGACTTCAAGATCGAAAGAGTCGAGTCTAGACAGAAAAGTAAGTTGTGAAAAGTTTTGAGAACCCTTGATTTAAGTAAAAAAAAAATCATTTGTTATCAGTCTGGACTGTTAGGTAACATCTAGACTGCTGTTAGCTAACATCTGGACTGTTGTTAGCTAACATCTGGACTGTTGTTAGCTAACATCTGGACTTTTGTTAGCTAACATCTAGACTGCTGTTAGCTAACATCTGGACTGTTGTTAGCTAACATCTGGACTGTTGTTAGCTAACATCTGGACTGTTGTTAGCTAACATCTAGACTGCTGTTAGCTAACATCTAGACTGCTGTTAGCTAACATCTAGACTGCTGTTAGCTAACATCTAGACAGCTGTTAGCTAACTTCTAGACTGTTGTTAGCTAACATCTAGACTGCTGTTAGCTAACATCTAGACTGCTGTTAGCTAACATCTAGACTGCTGTTAGCTAACATCTAGACTGCTGTTAGCTAACTTCTAGACTGTTGTTAGCTAACATCTAGACTGCTGTTAGCTAACTTCTAGACTGTTGTTAGCTAACATCTGGACTGTTGTTAGCTAACTTCTAGACTGCTGTTAGCTAACTTCTAGATTGCTTTTAGCTAACATCTGGACTGTTGTTAGCTAACATCTAGACTGCTTTTAGCTAACATCTTGTATTGTGAAATTCTTTATCAAAAGGGCTCGTGAAACGGTCGGCACAGATATTCAGACCAGAAGGAAAAAATAAAAGACAGAAGCTGTTACTGCTAGGATAAATTAGTGTCCTTTATTATCCTGCCACAGAGAACAGCCAAGCAAAAAACATGTACACTCTTAACACACAGATTGATATGAAATAACTTCTCACCGTGACACTGGCCGGGAAGTCGTTTTCGACCCAGGTAAAGAAGAATCACATCAAAATTGGTGCATGGCATTCAGCGCGTGCTGATCCACACCAGGACTCCCAACCCTCTGTTGTCTGATACATTTCTTATAAAGGCTTCCCTGATCGCGTGAGAGCAGATCAAAGCAAGTTTGATGGTTACCAGAACAACGGATCTAATTAAACCATCATCAAAAGCGATGGCTCATCCAGTAAGGAGCGCCTGTGACCGTAAAAGCGGGCCAAAGCTTCCAGGTCAAGAGCACTCCTAACGCTTATTAAAGCATTCCTAAAGAGCACTCCTCGTCCCTTCTGGAAACCATCAAAGAGTGCCTAAATATTATAAGCAACACACACACACAAAGTATATGTTTGAAAACATAATACAAAATACAATCCCTAATATGTGAATAACACGTTGTATAAGTGTGTTTAAATAAGTATAATATAAGTCTAGATTGACATAAAAGCATTAAAATAATAATTTCTATATCACATCTGGACTGTTGTTAGCTAACATCTAGACTGCTTTTAGCTAACATCTGGACTGTTGTTAGCTAACATCTGGACTGCTGTAAGCTAACTTCTAGACTGCTTTTAGCTAACATCTGGACTGTTGTTAGCTAACATCTAGACTGTTGTTAGCTAACATCTAGACTGTTAGCTAACATCTGGACTGTTGTTAGCTAACTTCTAGACTGCTTTTAGCTAACATCTAGACTGTTGTTAGCTAACATCTGGACTGTTGTTAGCTAACATCTGGACTGCTGTAAGCTAACTTCTAGACTGCTTTTAGCTAACATCTGGACTGTTGTTAGCTAACATCTAGACTGTTGTTAGCTAACATCTAGACTGTTAGCTAACATCTGGACTGTTGTTAGCTAACATCTGGACTGTTGTTAGCTAACATCTAGACTGCTTTTAGCTAACATCTGGACTGTTGTTAGCTAACATCTAGACTGTTGTTAGCTAACATCTAGACTGTTAGCTAACATCTGGACTGTTGTTAGCTAACTTCTAGACTGTTGTTAGCTAACATCTAGACTGTTGTTAGCTAACATCTAGACTGCTTTTAGCTAACATCTAGACTGTTGTTAGCCAACTTCTAGACTGTTGTTAGCTAACATCTAGACTGTTGTTGGCTAACTTCTAGACTGTTGTTGGCTAACTTCTAGACTGTTGTTAGCTAACATCTAGACTGCTGTTAGCTAACATCTAGACTGTTGTTAGCTCATATCTAGACTGCTGTTAGCTAACTTCTGGACTGCTGTTAGCTAGACTGCTGTTAGCTAACATCTAGAATACTGTTAGCTAACATCTGCTGTTGTTAGCTAACATCTAGACTGCTGTTAGCTAACATCTAGACTGCTGTTAGCTAACATCTGGACTGCTGTTAACTAGATTGCTGTTAGAAAACATCTAGACTACTGTTAGCTAACATCTGCTGTTGTTAGCTAACATCTAGACTGCTGTTAGCTAACATCTACTGTTGATAGCTAACATCTAGACTGCTGTTAGCTAACATCTAGACATCTGTTAGCTAACATCTAGACTGCTGTTAGCTAACTTCTGGACTGCTGTTAGCTAACTTCTGGACTGCTGTTAGCTAACTTCTGGACTGCTGTTAGCTAACTTCTGGACTGCTGTTCGCTATCTTCTGGACTGCTGTTCTCTAACTTCTGGACTGCTGTTCTCTAACTTCTGGACTGCTGTTCTCTAACTTCTGGACTGCTGTTAGCTAACATCTATCCAGGAGTGTCAAACTCTAGGCTTCGAGGGCCAGAGTCCTGCAACTTTTAAATGTATCTCTGATGCCACACAGCTGAATCATATGACTGAATTAGCTTCTTCGTGCAGTCAAGTTCTTCAAAGTCCTGCTAATGACTTCCTTATTTGATTCAGCTGTGTGGCATCAGAGACGCATCTAAAAGTTGCAGGACTCCGGCCCTCGAGGCCTGGAGTTTGACACGTGATCTAGACTGTTGTTAGCTAACAACTAGACTGCTGTTATCTAACATCTAGACTGCTGTTGGCTAACTTAGGTATGCTGTTGGTAAAGTTTTAGACATCTGCTAGCTAACTTGTTGACTGCTGTTAACTGACTTGTTGACCACTGTTAACTAACTTGTTGACTGCTGTTAACCAACTTGTTGACTGCTGTTAACTAACTTGTTGACTGCTGTTAACTAACTTGTTGACCACTGTTAACTAACTTGTTGACTGCTGTTAACTAACATGTTTTCTGCTGTTAACTAACTTGT